CTTATGCACAGCAGAATGAAAAACTGCCCAATCCTGGGCCAACCTCACTATTGTTGCCACGCTTGAGTCCATCGATGCTGCCACTTGGCCAATCCATCTCGTTGGAGGTCTTCCTCTTTTTCTCTGACTTTCCACCTTACCAAACATGATAGCCTTCTCCTGCGACTGGTCCCTCCTGACAATATGTCTGAAGTATGAGAGATGAAGTTTGGCCATCTTGGCCTCTGGCTGCACTTCTTCCAAAACGAATCTATTTGTTCTTTTGGCAGCCCATGGCACATTCAATATTCTCCTCCAACACCATAACTTCTAACATGTTGTGTTGTTGTTGTTGTTTAGTGTCGTGGAGTCGGTTCCGACCCATAGCGACCCTGTACAGGGTTTCCGAGGGTGTAAATCCTTACGGGAGTAGAAAGCCTCGTCTTTCTCCTGCGGAGCGGCTGGTAGGCTACTAAAATTATATTTATTTCCCTTTTCTCATGCAAGTGAACATTCTTTAGGAATTCCAAGAAGAATGTTTTTAAACTGATCAGTGTTTTCATTTGTTTCTCTCTCAATCTTTAGGGGTAGACATTTAAATAAAGCTAAATATGCTTAATTTTTAAAAGATATAATAAAAATTCCACAGTAGCTTAATAACCAATAATGTCTGAATTCCTTTAGTTCCCAGGACTATTTTTAGGTCTTTAGGGAAAATCTAACTACTTTTTCCTCTCTCTCAGTCTTGGCATACTCCATTAAACTTTAAACGATCGCACCGCACTCTCCCAGTTCATTCTCCATTTTCAGCATCAAAGATTCTGAAAGGAGGGAGGATCCTTTCACTTTCAGGGAGTAAGGGGAGGGAAGTATTAAGGAACTTGGAGACAAGAAGCCTGGGTTATACTTCCAAATCTAAGACTAACTGTGTAAGACTAACAAGTTCCTGAATTTCTGTAGGCTTTCATTTCCCATCTATTTAGCCAAAGAAGTTGCTGTTGTTGTTAAGTACTGTTGAGTTGTTTCTGACTCATAGCAACCCTGTAGAGGGTTTCTGAGGAGCAGCTGATGAGTTTAAACCACCTACCTTGTGGTTCAAACCAACTGTGCAGCCAGTGCTTATCCTACACCACCACACCAGGACTCTTGAGAGAGAAGAGGAGTGATGATTTCTAACGATCCTCTCAGTATCCCTGTTCTGTGATATTCTAATGTTCCACGCCATATTCTGCTCATTCCTATAGGGGAAGCTTTGACAACAGACCATGTAATAAGACTTGAAGAGAATATTTTCTATGACTTCCAGAGAATTTGGAAGACGAGAGTAATTGAATTTCCCACTCCAATCACAAATTGGTAGTAAGAAATAAGGGCTGGACTTGGGCCATCTGTTATAGATTCTCAAAGCAATTGAGTTTTCAAAGCCTGAAGAAGATAATTTCAGGCTAGAATATTATTCTCACTTTTTGACTAGTGACATGAAAGAACAGCCATAAATGTGACCAGCAGTTAATGATTGCGTTTTCAGTGAAGAATTATAACCATTTAACAATCAGTATTAAATTTAACTCTCTTTAAGATAAACTGTCTCTTAATGTAATGGTGTTCCAAATGATTGCTTCACATTTAAAATGGGGGAGAACCTTCACTTTAATGGACAGCCTTGGATCTGTTACCAAGACGGTTAAGGTCAAAGTCACAATTTAATAGCATTAGTTTCATTTTGTTCCAACGCCACAAGTACAAACTTAACCCTACTGGCTTTCTCAAAAAAAAAAAAAAAAAAAAAAAGTGTGAAAGCTAAGGCAAAGAATGTACAAAGTCGTCATCTCTACAGGAAAAGTAATTCACGGGTTGACTGTACTAACGTCACAGACATCTCTGGTTAACAGGACAGGATAGCATGGTGTCAAGATTACCCTGGAAACAGAGTTACCAAGTTTGGGAAAGTGTTGAGATGCCTAAAATGAGCATGGCACTCTGCTAGCACCATAATTATATTACCTTCTTATTATTCTCTGTAGAATCATTGAATCATTGAATCTGGTTACTGGACAGCACAGAAACCAATGTTTGTGGACCATTTGTCCTCTTGTTGTTTCTTTCGTGGTAGTGTGCCATGGAGTCAGTTCTGATTCATAGTCTCATCTCTCTCTTATGGAACAGCTGGTTGTTTTGAACTGCTGACCTTCAGGTTAACAGCCCAATTCATAACCACTATGCTACCAGCATCTTCACTTATGGATATTTATTCGTTTTTGAGAAAAGTGAAGAGATTAAAGAGGAGTTACTTTCTCTATTACAACTTCTATGGTATCCATAATGCATGAGATTGTATGTTCATTTAATGGAGTAAAGCCTGAGACTAAAAGTCAAACTTCATAAGCTCTTTGACTTCTTAGGCGTCTTGGTGAGGCACTGTAGGATGAGCACTGGACTGCAAGGTAGATTTGAGCAACAGGTTGGCAGTTCAAAACCACCAACCACTCCTTGGAAACCCTCTACAGGGTTGTTATGAGTCGGACCAACTCAATGGCACTTAACAACAACAACAACATGACCTCTTAGAACACTGATTTTCAAAATCTATCCCTACCATGCATTCTAGAACTCTATCCCCCTCTTTGTTTATACCCTTCTACACAATAGTGAGGAGTCATGGTGTGGTTCTGTGGGTTAATTCGCTGGACTGAAAAGTTGCTTTGAACCTCAAGGTCGGCGGTTCAAGCTCACCAACTGCTCCTTGGAAACACTATACAGGGTTGCTATGGGTCAGAATTGACTTGACTGCACTCAACAACACCACCAACACAATAGTGATGGTAGTATAGTGGATTACAACCACAAGGTCAGTAATTTGATCTTGTAGCTCAATGGGAAAAGATGAGGCTTTCTGCTCCAGTAAAGATTTACAGCCTCATAAACCCTATACAGGGTTGTTATGAGTAGGAACTGACTTGGTGCACACAACCACCACCACCACCACACAATAGTGATACTTAAGCACTAATAGCCATATATATATTATGAATTATGTAATAGTTTACATGGGAGAACACTAGCTTTACATCCATCCTATCGTATATCGTTTCATTGCCATGGTTGCAATCCCTTCCATGCATCATCAACCAAGCACAGGGTATACCCTGCAAGCCTGCTCCCCACCCCCCACCCCCCCATCATCAGCACACAGCCGCTCCATCTCTCCACATCATCGTCTCTGCCTCCGTCTCTGGTGTCACTGCTTCTCTGGGTAGGGTCCCACTTTTCTCCCTTGAGGGTCCCAGGGACCTCAGCTCCTAGAGTGCAAAGTTAATCACTCCCCTCCTTGCTACAAAACGCCTGCCTTTACATTTCCAACCCTCACAATCACTCTTGATAACAATTATCCACTATTGTATCACAAGAGACCTATCCACATTTCATTTCATCAGCCCCGCCTAGACAGATTAGATACTACTCAGTGGAGATTCTACCTTCCTCCATGCCCTCTGGATTTAAATTCCTTCTTGAAAGGTTGTAAGTCAGTCACTTCTTGCCTTTGAAGCCCCACCCCCCATTTTGAGTAGCCAGTGTCCATGTTGCCCATCCTTATCTACTCTGTGTATAGAGGGGGTGGGAATGATCCTCGCTGTAAAGATTTGTTCCCTCTTTTGAGCTACTGCATCCATAGGTGTAGGTCAAATTCATCAAATTGTATTAGATTACTCTTTGTTTCCCCTCTTCTTTCTTCTTATAGTTGAGCTCTGATCATTCAGCCATTGAAGCCAGGTCAAGTGGGTATTATCTGCAAGTGTGGGTGTTCTTGTGCAAATGCCTTCTCTTCCTATCAGCTGGACGCTTCACTCTCCACTCTAGTCCTCTGTGGCTATGTCACTGACTATGGGCTCAAGAGTCCCCTGGTCTTGCAACAATGCTTAGTCACATATATTTTATAGTCTACATCGTGGAGGTATGATATTGACAAGGGGGAAAGAAAACCACAGTCAGCACTTTAAAGATACTCTCTTTTTATTTCAAAACATGGGAATAACTCAAAAACTGAGTCTCAAGAATGAAAATATATATTTAAGCCAAATATTTGGAAGATGAGCCAGCTTGCCATTTTGGCACCAAACTTCACATGGACAAGTGACGGTTACAGAATGATGCTTGTGACATGGTTAAAACTATAACACACCAACATAGATTCATACTTGGTTGTCTAATTTGCATGCATGAGTATCGGATATTCTCCATGCCACTAGAACCCATATGCCCTTTTCAAAATCAGTGGAGGATCCACATTTGTACAGGTCTTTGAAAGTCTGCTCCCTTCCAAAACTTTTACCATGATTTATATGACAGAGCCTTCAGGTGTCAAATTATTTTTGCCACCTTTACTTCCCCAAAGTCAATGCCAAATAATAATTATAGCTGTCCAAAGTTCCAGCATGACATAAGAAAATTTGTTTGTTAATTATTTTTAATATCAATTAGCTAGTTGTGAGTAAACCTGGCTAAACATATCCACATGCTTGGTGTCTGGAATTTGAAATTGGTAATCTTTTAGCAGCAATGGCAACCTTAGACCAAAATGACAAAATTACAAAAAAGCAGCAGAGGATGTTCTGGAAAGATTTGGACTTTCTTGCTTTCCATAGTAAATTCTTCCCCTTCCCCCATAAGCACCAAACAATGACAAACAGACCCACTCTTGAATGAGTAGCCATTTTTTTCTCATTAATATTGACTTGTTGAAAACCCAAAGAACATTCAGAGCCAAGGGGGAAAAATGTCTAAATCTGAAAAGGAACCAAAAGAAAGTGTACCAGGGAAAAGAGATAGGAACTGAAAACAAGCTCCCAGAGTATCTCTGTGTCAATAAGCATGTAGTCCTTATTACTAGAATATGCAGCATCCCATGGGAAATGCTGCATCGTTCATGCCTCCACTCTTCTTCTTGCCAGTCCCTTCTTGATTGATTGAACTGCCTTGGCCAGAGGAGGTTGTTGCATCCAGAAGTTACTTGGCAGTGGGCCTCAAGAGCTGCACTCCTCGCAATGACAAGAGAGGATGTACCGGTAGGTGGCCGTGAGTCGCATGCCCCCTGAGCAGCGCAGCCGCAATGCCTTCAGCTTGGAGGTCTGGGGTCTGCAGCAGTGACAGGAGGAGCGGAAGGGTTGCTTGAGGACAGTGCTGAAGGACACCAAGGGCTCAGATCGTGATGCCTGGCTGCAGTGTCCCTCACACCTGGCCAGGAGGACCATCTGGGGAGAGAAGAAACAGTAGTTACCCTGCAGGGATGCCAAAACCTCAACTAGGTACTTCTGTGTCAATGGAAAGACTCTATTGTTGCTAGATGCCATCAAGTTGACCTATGATTCGTGGTGATCCCATGTATGGTCCTGCACCTTCGCTATGATAAGATGCAGATGGGATCTTTGTGATCTAAAATGTTCTCGTTGGCTCGTTTTTAGAAGTAGATTGCCAGGCCTTTCTTCATAGCCTATCATAGTCTGGAAGTTCTATTGAAACCAGTTCAGCATCACAGCAGCATGCTAGCCTCCAATGACAGACAAGTGATAGCTCTACTTGAGGCACATTGAGCATTGACCTGTGTCTCCCTTGTCGAAGGCAACAATTTCACCACTGAACAAGCAATGCTTCATTAAAAGGCCCCCACACCTCAAAAAAACTGCCTTTCCAATTCCTGCTAGATTAGACTAGTAGCTATCAGCCCTGGTTGAACATCAGAAATTCCTGTTGTTGTTGTTGTTGTTGTTATGTGCTGTGGAGTCGGTTCCGACTCATAGCGACCCTGTACTGGGTTTCTGAGGCTGTAAATCTTTATGGGAGTAGAAAGCCTTATCTTTCTCCCACAGAATAGCTGGTAGTTTCGAACTGCTGACCTTGTGGTTTGCAGCCTGATTTGTAACCACTACGCTACCAGAAATTCCTAGTAAACTTTAAAAGAAAAATCAAAACTCAAAGCAGGGAGGTTGGCTGAGAAATTATCAAGACAGGAGAAGACACAGGGAGGAGTGTAAGAGTTAAAGGGAATAGAGGTAAATACTGTTACATACACAAGCTGTAATACCAGTGATCTATATGGTTAGACACATGGACAGATACACAGGCTGAATGTGTTTAGGAGGGAGAGTGGGGATATACCCACAAATATATCGAGGTTTGACAGGATATTTGTACATGAGTATTTACCTTTGGTGCAAACTTATAAACATAATATGTTTCTCATGCTTTGGACATATTATCAGAAGGGACCAGTCCCTGTGGAAGGGCATTATGCTTGGTAAAGGGAAGGGTCAGCAAAAAAGAGGGCAACCTCCTATGCGATGGATTGACACAGTGGCAGTTAGCAATGGATTCAAACGTTAACAATTGTGAGGATGGCAGAGGACTGGGCAGTGTTTCGTTCTGTTATGCATAGGGTTCTATGAGTGGGAGCCAACATTTACCTAACAACATCAACTTTTGCTGCAAACATATCCATAAATGTGGTGAAGCATAAATAGGGCAAAATTATGAAAAAATCCTGAGGGAATGAATTACGAAATACCCTGAGGGAATGAATTGCTTGGGTCTGGGGGCTCAGGACCATAGTTTCAGGGGACCTGGTCAATTGGTATATCATAGTCCACAAAAACAATATTCGGCATCCTGCTTTTCTGAGTTGTTGTTATTAAGTGCCATCGAGTTGATTCCAACCCATAGCGACCCTGTATATTAGATAATCTCTTTGATATCCCATGCGAGTAAAGTTTTGCTAAAGGTAATACAGAAACAGCTACAATCATACATTGACAGAGAACTTCCAGAGGTTCAAGCCGGATTCAGAAGAGGCCGTGGAATGAGGGATATCATTGCTGATGTCTGATAGATCTTGGCTGAAAGCAGAGAATATCAGAAAGATGTTTACCTATGCTTTATTGACTACGCAAAGGCTTTTGATTATGTGGATCATGACAAGCTATCATGGACAACGTTGTGAAGTATGAGTATTCCGGGACACTTAATTGTGCTCATGAGGAATCTGTACCTGGACCAAGAAGCAGTTGTTCGAACAGCACATGAGAACACGGAATGGTTTAAAATTTAAAAAGGTGTGTGACAAGGTTGTATTCTTTCACCATGCTTATTCAACCTGTATGCTGAGCAAATAATCCGAGAAGCTGGGTTCTATGAAGAAAAACGTGGCATCAGGATTGGAGGAAGACTCATTAACAACCTGCGATATGCAGAAGATACAACCTTGCTTGCTGAAAGTGAAGAGGACTTAAAACATTTACTGATGAAGATCAAAGAACACTGCCTTCGGTATGGATTACATCTCAATGTAAAGAAAACAAAAATCCTCACCACTGGACCAATAAACAACATTCTTATCAACGGAGAAAACACTGAAGTTGTCAAGGACTTCATTCTTCTTGGATTACCTATCAACACTCACGGAAGCAGCAGTCAAGAAATCAAATGACGTAATTGCACTGGGCGAATCTTCTGCACAAGACCTTTTTAAAGTGCTGAAGAGCAAAGATGTCAGCTTGAAGACTAAGGTGCGCCTGCCCCAAGCCATGGTATTTTCAATGACCTCATATGCATGCGAAAGCTGGACAGTGAATAAGGAAGACCGTAGAAGAATTGATGCATTTGAGTTATGGTGTTGGAGGAGAATATTGAAAGTTCCATGGGCTGCCAAAAAAACAAACACATCTGTGTTGGAAGAAGTGCAATCAGAGTGCTCCTTGGAGGCCAGGATGGCCAAACTTTGTCCCTCATACTTCGGACATATTGTCAGGAGGGATCAGTTACTGGAGAAAGATATCATGTTTGGTAAAGTGGAGGGTCAGAGAAAAAGAGGAAGACCCCCAATGAGATGGATTGGCCAAGTGGCAGCATGGATGGACTCAAGCTTGACAACAGTAGTGAGGTTGACTCAGGATCAGGCAGTGTTTCGTTCTGCTGTGCATAAGGTCGCTATGAGTCGGTACTGACTTGATGGCACCTAACAACAACTATAATCGTTGAAATTAAACAAAGTTTGTTTAAAGTAAACCTGATGATCTGTTCTGTAAACCTTTACTCAATTCACAATAAAAAGTAAAAAAAAAAAAAAGAAGAAGAAGAAAAGTAAAATCAAGGTGTGTACATGAAATGTATTTGTCAAAAACCACAGGAATATACAGCACAGTGATTGAACCCTATAGATTTAGTTTATAATAATTCACTAATTGTAACAAATGAATCACACTAAGGAAAGATGTTAATAAAAGAAGAGACTGTGTATCTTGGTAGGTGGAGTGGAGAAGCATATGGAAATTATCTGTTCTTTCTGAGCAAGTTTTCTATAAACTGCTCTGAAAGTGTGTATTTAAATTTATATATACATGTGATAGAAATATATATCAACACATCAATACCCAAGACAATGAATAAAATTTCAGATCAACTGAATTAAAATATTTGGGGATAGGATCTAAACATCTATATTTTTTCCAGCTCTATAGGCAATTGTAAAGTGCACTGAAGGTTTGAAACTATTTCTGAGACCCACCGTATTAATTGTTGCTGTTATTAAGTGCCGTCGAGTCAATTCAAAATCAGAGCAACCTTGTACAGGGCTTCCAAGGGGCAGCTGGTAAGTGTCAACTGCCTACCTTTTGGTTCACAGTCCAGTGATTACCCTATAGCACCACACTATAATAATATACAAATACAAATTTAAAAAACAAGTAAAGTTCTGCTGCCCAATGCCAATTTTAATAGACTCAAAATCTAGAAAGTCTCTATAAATTGCAACCAAGGAGTAAAAAAAGAATGACTACTTAAAAATGGAAAATTCTTTCTTATATGTAGAGAATGTTGTTGTTAGGTGTCTTCAATTTCATCTCTAATCCTATATGCAAAAGAGTGCAATACTTCCCCGTCTTGTACCATCCTCACAATAATTGCTAAGTTTGAGTCCATTGCTGTCAATCCATCTTATTAAGGGTCTTCCTCTTTTTCTTTTTCTCCAGGGGCTAGTCCCTCCTGATAACATGTCCAAAGTATGTGAGACAAAGTCTTGCCATCCACAATTATAAACAGCATTCTGGCTGTACTTTTTCCAAGATAGATTTGTTCATTCTTCTGGCATATATTCAATATTCTTCACCAGCATCATAATTCATAGGCATCAATTCTTCTTCATTCTTCCTATTCACTGTACAGCTTTTATATGTATATGAACTGATTGAAATTACTATGGCTTGGGTCAGGCACACCTTAGTCTTTATTGACATCTTTGTCTTTTAACACTATAAAGAGGTTTTTTTTGCAGCAAATTTATCCAATACAGTACGTCATTTAGTTTCTTCCACGGACATTTACTGTGGGTCCAAGTAAAACAAAATCCTTGACAACTTTAATACTTTCTCTATTTAACATGATGTCGCTTACTGATATAATGAGGGGTTTTGTTTTCTTTATGTAAGGTGTATTCCATACTGAAGGTTTTGATTTTCATCAGTAAGTGCTTTAAGCCCTTTTCACTTTCAGCAAGCAAGGTTGTCATCCGCATATTGCAGGTTAACGGCTCCCCTCAATCATGATGTCTCATTCTTCTTCATATAGTCTACATTCTTGGATTATTTGCTTATCAAACAGATTGAATAAGTATGGTGAAAGGATGCAACCCTGACACACATCTTTTCTAATTTTAAACCATTCACTATCTCCTTGTTCTATTCAAGCTACTGCCTATTGATCTATGTACAGGTTCCGCATGAGCACAATTAAGCATACTTATATTAAAACTCTCATCCACATCCATGGCTGATGACAACATTGAGCAGGCAGATGAAATAATTCTGTTGAATAGATGGATCATTTGCAAATCAGCCATGACTCTGCCTATGAAATAGTTCATGACAGACTTGTATTTCATGAAGTTTGTGCAAGATGAGTACCAAAACAACTTACAAAAGAGCAAAGATAGAAGCATTTGAACACCTGTAAACAAAATTTGGAATGATACTCAAGGAAGGTAAAAGTTTCTTTAAAAAAATTATTACTGGTGACAAGACATGGATTCATCATTATGAGCCTGAAAGTAAATGGCAGAATATGGAATGGAAACCTCCTCAATCACCGACCAAGAAGCTGGAAAATTGATGCTATCAGTTTTCTGGGATTCTCAAGGGACAATATGAGAATACTATTAGGGAAAAGGTTCAACAATCAATAGTGCTCTTTACAGTGAAATGCTCAC